AAGAACGGGAAAGTTCCCTCTGCAACTCGCCCAGTTACCAGAAACAAAGAGGAGTTCATCACTTGTCCAGGTTAGTGACAACCGCCCATATACACAATCATGCACCCTATACACAATAATGCAACAAATCACCTAATGGTCCGAATTAAAATTCACGCACAGATTAGTACTAGAAACAAAGAGTCGCGATAGATGCCGGTACTTGTGCATCTATGAGGATGGTCAAAATGGTTGGTGACAAGGGGGCCTAAAAGGGGGTCCATAGTTTGACATCCACCAGAAATATATAATCGTGCCATGGTCAAACCTCCTTGTGGGCCATGGTCATGGTCCCTTCACATTGAATTCCTACCACGGTTCTCTAAAATCTCTTTGAAGGGGTGATGACCATCTCTGCAAGTCCCATGGAAAAGGAGTCGTTTAACCATGTCATGTGAATTCAGATTCTTCTATTATCAGCAGCAAACGTTGCTGCCTTCTCCATGTTTCTGCCGCTAGGAGCGCAAGGATCGACCCTCTTGCGGTCCTCCAAACCCTTCAAAGGATCCCAGGGTACAAATTTTAGGCCACCCAACCCTTTCCGCGCCCAAAACGAAACCAAAGGGGAAGCAGAAGTAAAGCAAGGCTTTCGGAGTCGAACTGTCCTATCTTTGTACCCTTAAGTGAGCCCTTAGGAATACGAAAAATTGACCTTAGCCCAAATGCGGGGGCTATATAACATAAGCTGAACAGACAAACAAAAGGGGTGATGGGTCAAATCAATGCCGTTTTCCAAAGGGCGTTGGGAGGTTTGGCAGCTGGCAAAGACCTCTAAACAGTTTGTTTTTCCGCAAACTTGTGTCCAAGTTCCCTCATGGACTGTTGGGGGGGGGCCTTAATGAGGCCTTATTCCGGGGTCAACCAGCCACCCAGGTTCCCCGATTTATACTTTGAGCGGTAAGTACTCCTGGTCATAAGCCATTTCGGGGACTTCTGTCTGTGGTAAATGAGCTCTAATGTCGAGCCTAGATTTTCCACCTTCGGATTATATAGTCAGGGCGTGTGTCCCCTCAAATTCACCCAGATTCCTTCTAAAACGGGCTACTCACCAAAAGTTTCTAAATCCTGGGTTCACATCAACCAGGCTTCGTCACCACTTACTATCCAGTCCTCCAGCGGCCATGCGTAAGACGTTTGCGCCTTCTTGGGCTGATTTTGAACAGGTTGCCCGCCTCAAAGAGGTTCGAAGCAAAGAATAACCATCGTCGTTGTCACTAAGTTGCTTCAAGTTCCGGTGACTTCCTGCAATCTTCTTTGCTTCTTTTGCGGGAGGTGGCCAGTCCCCACGTGACCGATCGCGGCCTTGAGCTGCATCCATTGTGAACATGTTAACGTACTTTCTGGGGGAAAAAAACCCTTAAACCGCCATTTGAAGGAGAATGTTGCTGGCCATGGACATTGCGGCAGCCATGGAGCCAGGGATGCTGGACTCTGTTAAAAACGTCTGGAGCTAAGCGCCAATCACCACCAAAATCACGCTGTTTGAGCATGTCACTTTGATCAATGGACTCAGGTGTCCATTGCTTCCCCACCGTTTCCTCAACCAACAAAAAACAACGCGTGTCCCGTAGAAACCTAAGGATTTCCCATGACCACACGCTTTCAGGTGGTCTCCCTTGAAAAGACGCAGCTGCTGCTTTGTTGGCGGGCGTTTGAGCACCGGAAACCGGGGACCCCGGTGACATGCCGACGGCCCACCCTTCGCTCGGCTAGGCGAGCTTCGCGGTGGGGGGGTCCATGAGCTCCACGGAGGGGGTGGTGAGCACGCGCTTGGGCATGTACGGGGGCACGAACCTGGGAACTTCAGGCTTTGAGGGTTGCCAAATGCTTGGTTGACGCTGGAAGGGGAGCAAAAAATGGCCAAATTTTAGCAGTTGAGTGGCGATCCCCCACTAAACCACAATAAGGAAAAATGAAAATGGTACCCAACATGGCTTCTGGTAAATGGAACCGGACCGTTTTTTGGTGGTTTGATTTTGACCCATCACCAAATTATTCTTTCTGATATTCATTGATTGTTGAAGGGATTTCCATGGGGACCCTGTTGTTTGACCCCCCAGATTTTTGTTGGAAACCAGAGAAGCGAAAACAGGTTGGGTTGGGCGAAATGCTTGAGTATTGTTGGGATTTGTGGTTGAATAACATGCGGATCCATGGTTTAACAGGCAAGGGTCACAAATATGGTTGGTGTATGATGAGTAGAGGGATGTATGGCTGTGCAGATGGAGCGCTCATGGACTATAGCCAGGAAAAACGAGACGGGACCCCCATGTCTTTGCGGCTGCTGAAGGGAACAGTCCTATGGTTCTGTTTCTTGATAGACCCCGAGCAAGGTACTGTTCGATATTGGTACTGTTTTTACGCATGTGTGCATGAGACATGTATGGACCGTATCATATACATGTACAACAGTCAACACCCTATAAACTCTTGGAGCTTGTAGCCAGCCAACTCTGAACACCCCATGGCTATAAACCCCCAGTTCACTTTCAGCACCCCTCCCACATCCGAGCGGCGTCGGCCGCGCTGTGGAGGGCACCACTTCCACCGGCACCTCCACCGGCGCCTTCTTCCGCGGCGCCTTTTGCGCTGGCGCCGAAACCGCCGCGGGCGCGCGGGGCCCCGGCGCGGTCGCCGGAGGCGCCGCGGGGCGGCGGTCGAGGGGCCGCACTTCGCGCACTTCGGCCTGGCGGGGCCAAATGAAGCGGACGAGGTTGTGCATTTTGGAGTGGAGTACTTGAAAAAAAGTAATGATAGGGTTAATCATGTAGAAATGGTGTTGCCCCCTTTTAAACTTTTGGAGTCCCTTTCGGGCGAGAAAGAGGGAGGGTATACCATAAGGGTCTTCATCAGAAAGTGGAGAGGTACTTTAAAAGAAACAAACAGTTTAGTCGTGATAGGGTTGACTACTAGAAATCATGTTGCCCCCTATATTGCCGAAACAAATGAACTATATGGGAGTGTCCAAACCAAATCCACAAAACGTAGAGTTCTGGGCACCGAACCTCACTGGATATTGAGTTGTCCTTCACTCCGCTCTCCTGCAGATTGATAGAAGTCACTTTGTTTTAGAGGAACATCTGAATCTCTTTTTGAGAATGGACCTGACGGGTTCCATGTTGATCGCACTGTGAGTGGCACTGGGGTTGGTGCTCGGCTTTTGCTGGGAGTTGCCCAAAATTATTTCTGGCTTTTGAGGTGCGATGTTCTGGCAACACTCCCCTACAAATTGACATGGAACTCAAAAAGGGGCCATTTTCTATAACAAGGTTTCTCAGGCATTGGCGGTTTTTTGGTTCCATGTTCATGTGCAGAGTAGTTGCTGGCCCCTGGCAATCTTGCGACCTCCCCCTCGCCTTGGGAACCGGCAACGAGGCCACCGTGGCCGTCAACGGCGAAATGCCCTGCATCACAAAGGGACCGTGGGGTCCGTGGGGTCCGTAAGGTCCGTGGGGCCCTTGTGGCCCCGGTCCATGCGCATAGACCGCTTGCGCGGGTCGCCGACCGACGTGAGGGGCGGCGGTGACGACCATTTGGCTGCTCCTCGGAAGCGAAATGGCTGCAGTCAGGGAGACAACAAAGAGCACACTGAGAATTGGATGCGAGAACAATGAACTGCGCGCGCTTTCTGTGCGGCATGCCTGATGATGTGCCACTGTAAATTCGACCGGGTGAATGACTTACAACATCTATAGCTCAACCATGTCAACGTATGCCTATATATATATACTGCTTGGGTCTTACTTTCAGCTGGTCGGTTCCTCGCTCGATCAATTCTACAATCAGATTTGCGAGTTCGACCTCCTCCCTCTTAGAAAGGGAAGGTTCGAGAATCTTTGTGTCTCCAGTTGCATCAGCTCAGTTCCTGGGGGCCCGCGCATGGGCGGGGGTCGGTGCGTCACCTGCTGCACCGAACCCATTGCCCGAAGTCCGGGGTACCCTGTCGGGCCATACCTCGGGATGCAACGTTTGAGCCACGGCGTAAATCACTCTCCTTTCGGTTTCCCTGGAGCCCATACACAACACTGTTTAAGCACTCTCCTGCGGGCTTGCCTTTCAGGAGAACCAGGGTATGTTTGTTCAAACAGATATTGCAAAGACCGGGCCCATGTTCCAGTGACATCCAAACACATTTCCCTCAAAACAGTGGTTCAAAGGAAAACTACCCTCCCCCCCCCCGCGACCAAGAAAGAGGAGAACAAGTAATTTTGAGAACCCGAACCCGAAAACCCCTGTACAGAAATCTCCTGGGGGATTGGCCTTCCCCCCCCCGATCAGCAGCCAGAAATTTGGCAAAGGGAAAGTAAAGGAAAACCTTTGACCAGTGTTCAACTGTTTTAAATTTGGCACTCCAACCTTAATAGTTGGAGTCACAGGGACATGCTGAAGGTAAAGCAACGTTTGACCAGGACGGGGTCACCCAAAGGCTCAAAGGGCAAGGGGCAAAGATGACATCTGGCAAGGTCTCAGATCAAAGCCTGGTGTTAAGACTCCTTGTGGCCATATTCGTAGCTCCCTTTGGAACCTTCACATTGGTTTGTCTAAAACCCTTTTAAGAGGTTGACCCGAGTAAAGGCTCTGTTGATGGCCAAGGTACGGCAGTGTCTGCCGCACGTGCATTTGGCCGCAATCGAACGGGAGAAGTCCCCCGAATAAGTTGCGCTGAATTCGATGGTGCGCTGAAGCGTCACTTGGAACTTGCTTGGGCCACTGGCTGCGGACGATCGCATTGGATTTATGGACGCAAGACCTGCGAGTGCATAGCAGTTTCCATGCCATGAACTTGGGTAACCCTGAATGGTGCTAACAAAAAGGGTTCGGGAATCATTCACATTGTTTCTTGGGGTCCCTGATAAACATTGCAATTCGGCTGATTCACCAATTCCCCACTATCGAGGGAATCGACTGTACCTGAACAAAATTTCGGAAAGGAGAAGACTGCCGTAAACCTCCTTGAAGGAAGGAAGGAAGGAAGCAAGAAAGGAAGAAAGGAAGGAAGGAAAGACAGACAGGCAGGCAAACAGACAGAAAGACAGGCAGGCAGGCAGGCAGGCAGACAAACAGACACACAGACAGGCACAGACTCGCAAACACATGGACAAACGGACACACAGGCGCACACACACACACAGTCACACACAGTCACACACAGTCACACACAGAGACACAGAGAGACACAGAGACACAGACACACAGACACACCCACACAATCAAACAAACCAACCAACCAACCAACCAAACAAAAAAGCCAGCCAAAATTCGCCTCGGCCCAACAAACGAACTGACAACCAAGCAAAAAGAACAAAAGGAACACGGCGGAAAAGAAAGGAAGCCATCACATCCAAAGCTTCGGGTCTCTCAGGCGCCGCACCATGGCCGCAGCCGCCTCCGCCTCGATGTTCTTCCTCGAAGAAGGGATTTCAAGCCGAGGCTTCAAGCGGACGCTCATGGGGGGAAAGGCATTTTGCTTTGGTACCGGAAGCTGATTTTCAAGCCTAAGGTCCAAGTACCTTCTCGCAAAGCACTTTGATCCCTTAGCCCGCAGAAACCATCCTCAAACAGCTCTTGGATTCGTTGAGGTCCATTTGGGTGTGTCATATTTCAAAGCATACCCTGTTTGGGTTGGCAAGAGAAACGAAAAGAAACAAACAATTATTTTGGGGCCCCCGCCATCCCGACTAGAAAAAGCTGTCTTTGCTTGAGATTCTGGGTTTGGGGTTAGACATGTTGAGATTTGCCACTTGCTCGTGCCACGCAATCTGCACGCTTAGAAATTTGGGCATGCCCTTTCCTGTGGGCCCAAGTACCTAAGCAGGTATGGTCCAAAATCCCCAACCCAATTTTTATATATTCGGGTTTCTATAACACCTCAAATCACTAGGGGGCCTTTATAGGCCCTTTGCCCGCAACGAATCGCCGCTCCCATCACTGGGCTCCGGCCGGAACCCCGTCTTGGCAATCGCCGCTAGTTCCTGGCCACATCGAGACTCGGGTAAGGACAAGACTGGACTCCTTGGTGGCCTCATATGCAACACATTCACCAAAAAGTAGCCTCCCTCCAATCATGGAAGTTGACAGAGCTTTGGAAGACTATGTTCCTTTTGGGGAACCCCTTTGTGCGCTTTTTTTGATTGTTGGAAAGAGGGTGCATACCTTCAGCTTCCCCCTAATTGAGCTTATTTGGATTAGTAGCTTCGGGGAGTTTTTTATGGGCGCTTTCCCATTGAGCCTCAGCAAGAACACAGGCTCAAATCGCCAACGATATTTTTGTGCGAAGGTCAAGCAAGAGGAAAACCATGATATTGAAGTAGATGGCAAAGTGGGCAAGTACAGGGCAGCTATTTTGACAGCCGAAACATACATATCTTTGTAGGTACACATGTGTATACATACACATATATTCACATGCGATGTATGTGTATATATATATATATGTACTGAAATATGTATATCATGCTGCGCTAGATCCTGGTAGATCTAGTAACCTCTAAAATATTGGCTATTTCTTGGCTAAGCTAGAGCAGGCGCCAAGAGGTCCATGCGACTGCGTGCAGGGCTTCTCAAGCATGCTGCTGGCTAAGGTAGCCCAGCCAAATCGAAGCAAGGCAGTTGCAAGGACACGTCATCTGCAGCCCCGAGTTTTGCATGGGGCCGATGGCAGCTGCAGCTGTGTGCGAGGCCTGCAAGGCGCAGTTCAAAGATTGCCATATCCAAAAGATAAGATCTAAGCGCTCAATCATCCCGGGTCTTGTGGCTCAGCCACAGCGACAAGAACAGTTGTTACTTGCTCCTTCAAGTCTGGCTGCGCTCGCGCTAGCTGCATACTTTGCTAAGAAGGTACGCGTGCTTGGTGCCTAAACGGCCAATCCACCCGGTCTTTGAGCACCTGCTTCACTCCTAACGAAATATTGCAGCCAACAGTAAGCAAAACGACAAGGCGGCGTAACTTGTCAAACTTGCGTGGAGTGGTTCTGAAAATCTCACATCAGCAGCCTAAAACTAAGTCTGCTTGGCCTGGTCTTGTCTTCTTCATAAGCGCCGCCTGTTGCATTGGAGTTTTGTAACGGCCGTTCGTGCCGGCTTCCGAATTTTGTTGCACATGCAACTGTGTCTTGAGACTCATTGTTCCTCGCCCTTGTTTTGGGCGTTTCTCCGCCTCTGCAGGCGTGGGGGGCGGGCAACCAAGTAAGTGTGGCCGGTGACTTTCCTTCTGGCTCTCCTTTAACAAGAGTTCCCAAAAAATAGACACACCGAACCAACCTCCTGCACCCACCAAGCCCTGGTGAAGTGCGCTACCCTCCCACCCAGGAAGCCAAAAATCGGAGGGGGTTGGAAGCTTTTGCACCCCAAACTTCCACTTCCATAAGCACATCGGAAAGAGTTTGTACATCACCAGGTTAAACATTCGCGCACCAAACCGCACGGAATTGAGGTACTATTAAACTTTAAATTCTTGGAGTGGGGCTGTGGAGCGCTGCAAAACCAGATTTCGGCATGAGTCCCATTCAGCCCCCTTAAATTAAATTGCCTGGCGTCCCCTGTTCCCCTTGCATTTTGTGTCCTGGGCGTTCACCGTCCTTTGCTCCTTGCGCATCGCGCCGCCAAAATATCCTGCCTCATCCTCGGGGTTGGGACTGCCAACATTCGGCGGCCTGGTCAAGGAGGTCCTGCGATCTGAAGCCATCCCTCGCCCACCCAGAATTGCGAGCACAATTTGAGGTCATGCAATGAACGTGTCTGATTCGCAGCACGTTGAAAGCTGGTCCACATGCAGGGCCCTTCGTTATGCGCCAAGGTGGTCAAAAACTGCTCGAAGCCTTACCGCATATCAAACACGTATTACCACATATGAAACCCCTCGGCTTATCCACGTGCAGCGCCCCCGGCCTACAAACCGCACTCCTTGGGGGTTGAGCCCCGAGGTTCGGTTCACGGTTCACAGCCTGCGACCTTCTGCCCAATGTCCTCGCAGTCGTCGAAACCGGCACTTTGAGCTTGGACGGCTTCTGCCTGACGTGGGGTTTGACCGCTGCAGTTCCATGTGAATTTGCAGCCAGGTGGCATGCGACAGCAGGAGTCTGGGTGATACCATGCATGGTATCAGGGATGGGCTATCTTGGCAGTGTGTCGATTGATGACACCATTCTTTGTAACATGACATGTTTGTTTACACAAATGTTGAGCTTGTAGCACTCTGAAACACGGCAGGCTCACCCGCGCGCTGGGCCAACTCGGCCAACGGCTGCTGATGGAAGAAATCTTCGATGGCAACGCTCAAAGTGCTAGATTCTCCGGTACATACTTTGTACAAGCTTTTTGAGCAGGTTCGGACCTCAGAGTTGCCGCTTTGTAGCAATTAGGGTGCTTTCCATAGCTTCCAAACAAGTGTTTTAAAAAGTGCGGCTAAACTCCCACGTCGTCCAACTCCAAGAAGCAAGCTCCGGAAAACCCCCAGGAATGTCGCCAAAGACCCACCAAAAACCCGCGGTGTCTGAGACCAACCACCATGACCTGACTTCAACGTGGGCAAAGGACTTAGAGCGGACTCGGAGTGGACCGGATGTTGCCCATGCCAGATGCCTCTGAATACACGCATCAGGTACCCCAAGGGTCCAAGTAATTTTGGAGGGTGGTTTTTGAAGGCTTCAAAGGGGTCAAAGTACCTCCTGAGAAGATACTTGGACCCTTGAGGCTAGGGGTAAGATGAACCTCACCCCACCACGAAAGTCTTGAGGTGAGATGTCACTGCGATGATGGGTAAGACTGCAGGGCACTGCATAGCCAAACATTAAGCCATGATTCTAAGAAACAAGATACAAGAAACTCTACAGGAAATCGTTGTTCTTGGTGGGTGTTTGGAAAATGTCCTGTCAAAAGTATTGTAGCTGGTTTCCATGAATGATCTCAGACACAAATACCA